AAACATTTTCTATCAGCTTTCATGTAGTGAAATCTATTTTATTATAGAGTTGAGTATTTTAATCAACTATAAATACGATGGTTGGCCATCAGACAAATCAAGATCCGGAAAGTTGTAGGACCTGACAATATATCAGCCAAAGCTATTCAGGAAGATTTAGGAGGAAGATCAAGTACCACCGACACACTGGAAAGAATGACAGCTCATCAAGATAACAAAGAAAGCAGATCTGAGTAAATGTGAAAACTACAGAGGCATGACATAACTGTCAGTACGAAGAAACGTTTTCAACAGAGTTGCTCAACTGGATGAATGACTCAGTAGACGTCCAACTTTGAGAATAAGAGGCTGGATTCCGTAAAGATCGGTCGTGAACAGATCAAATCGTGATACAACGGACCACCAGTTGAATGGAACTCGTCATTATTCATCAACATAATTGACTATGAGATGGCGTTCGACACACAAGGCTGCGTACTCTCACTCTTGCTTTTTCTTCTGGTTCTCGACTGGATTATGAGGACTTCAGTACCTGAGAAGAACAGGATACAATAAACAGGTTGGATGCAACTAGACGATCAGGACTTAGCAGATGATGTGACCCTTCTATCCCATGCACACCAATAAGTGCAGGTCAAGACAAACAATGTAGCAGCAGCCTCTTCAGCAATAGGCCTCAAAATGTACAAACGGAAAAGCAAGATCCTCAAATACAACACAGATAACACCAACCCAATCACGCTTGATGGGGAAGCTCTGGAAAATGTGGAATTTTCCAAGTACCAAAGCGGCATCATCGACGAACAAGAAGGATCTGATGCAGAAGTAAAGGTGAAGATTAGCAAAACAAGTGCCGCATTCCTGCAATTGTAGAACATATGGAGCTCAAAACAACTGTCAACCAATATCAAAGTCAGAATCTTCAATACGAATATCAAGACAGTTCTACTGTACGGAGCTGAAACGTGTAGAACTACTACAACCATCATCAAGAATGTACAAATACAAGTAAGTAAGATACTGAATGTCCATTAGCCGGATACCATGAACAACAGTTTACTGTGGGAGATAACAAACCAACTTCCGGATGAAGGGGAAATTAGGAAAAGACGTTGGAAGTGTATAGGACACATATTGAAAGAATCACCAAACTGAACCACGAGGCAAGCGCTAACTTGAAACCCTGAATAGAAACGGAAGAAAGGAAGACCGAAGAACACACTGTGTTAGGAATCGGAAGCACACATGAAAAGGATGAATAACAACTGGAAAGAACTGGAAAGAATTGCCGTGGACTGGGTTGAATGGAGAGTTATTGTGGGTGGCCTATGCTCTTCTGTGAAGGGTAACAGGCATTAGTAAATAAGTAATATATACGATCGTACAGTTTGGGCAAATAATGTTATCTAAAAGAAAATTTGCTTCAGTGAATCGTTATTATTTGTTATCAACAATTATCTATTTTATTTCATTATTTTTTCCACTGATTGATTAACTAGCCGACATACAATTCATTTGTTAATTATGGCTAAACTAAACTAAACAAAATAATGTGGAATCACTTATAGTTAGCTTGAAGAAATTCAACTATCATTAATTATCAAACGACATAAAATTAATAACAACGTTATTATTTATAATTACATACTACTTTTTTTGTTTAAAAAATCACAATTTAGTAATCTACCGGTTAAATATGATGGAATAACATTCTGTGAAATATATTTTATGGAATAATTACACTTACTCTATTAATGTAAATGATTTTGTTCTACACAACATAATAACACGTTACTTAACTGATATTCGCCGAAATCAGGTAGTTTTTTTAAAAAAATCCCTTTTTAAATGGTTGAGTCGATTGAAGCTAGGCCACGATGGAAAACCTGGAAGCATTGGACGGTCGTCTCATCCTATTACGGGATTCCACAGCAGTGCGCATCCACGATCCTGCCTTGCGCGATTCCAACCTGGGACATATTAGGCTCGCGCGCAAGCGCTTAACCACTAAACCACTGAGTTGGCCGGCATCCAACGGCCTTTAATGTCTAGCTTCAACCAATCCATGAAATTGAGCGACACATCCAGCATTGTCTTCAGTGAGTTACAATCTCATAACAGACCTGGTTGAACTCTTTTGATTTAACTTATTCTTTTGAATAATTTCATTAACTATTTGTTCAAATAGTGAATCTGATCCAACAAGTTTAATGAATTACATTGATGTATGTGTATTTTAGGTGGGATAGATTAAAATGATTCATATTTATGTTAAATAGAAACAATAAAATCGATATATTTCCTATCTGTAACAAAATATGTTTGGACATGAAAAAACATTATGAATAATTATCTTATTTCATATGTAGTAAACTAAAAAACAATCATACAAACAAAACATTCTGGTTAAAATAAAGTACATTCAACAGGCATTAAATATTGATCTCCTCATATTTATATGTTGTGAAGTTAGGAATCTCTGGAAATTATCGTCATTAATAGATTATCATCTTTTTATGATATTTTGGTGTTAGTCACTCGCTTGAGAAACAAATATTTTAATAGTTGAGATCATGAGTCAGTTAACGCTAGACCATCATGAAAAACCTGGACGCAATGAACGGTCGATTCGTCCTGTTATGGGACTCCTCAGCAGTGTGCATTTACGATCCTAACTCGCGAGATTCGATTTTCTTCATGATTTTCTCTTACTTGGCATTTGGTGAAGATTCTTCCATGTGTCTTATCCATTGTAAAACTTGTCTGTCGACAGAGACATTCGTTTACTTGGTTGGTCTGTGGAAATATTTTAGGCAGAACTAAGATAACTATTGAAGACTAGTGATTATTAGAGTTTTTGTTATAGTTTTTGGTACTCCATGGCAGCACCTACCTAGGAATAAACAGTATTCCAGTGCTTCCTAGCTTTCAGTTCCGGTTTCCACAAGATCAGTACATAATTTATACTATGGAAATTTCACAATCTTCATGAAACACTTCACTGATGATAATAAACGTATCGTCACTAGTAACTAGTTTCAAGGTGCGATTCACACAACGCTAGCTAGCTTTGATCAGTTAAGTTCAACTATTCTGGGTGTCAGAGAACAAAAAATAATCATACAATACCGTGAATTGACTGAAGTTAAATATATATGACTGGATGGTAGCGCAGGGCTCTAGGGGGCAAACGTTCATAAGTAAGAAAGAATGTTTTTGGTTCGACATCCAGTGGCGAGGTCATGGATGCATAGCTATCCAAAGCTTTAGAATTTTCAACTGTGATATGGCTATGAATTAATTGTGATTTCAAACAGAACTTTCTTGATAACAATAAGATGAAAATCATATCACATTGTTATATACAACTACTTAAAAACAGTTGGATGGTGAAAAGAGTTTTTAGAAATTATTAGTGAAGAAGAGAGAATGAAATAGTGAAAAGCTGCATGGAGTAACTTAGACCAGTAATACAAGGTCTATGACAATCGTTTCTTAAATATGTAGGCTAAATTAAAAAAGACTAAATATGTCTATTTGACCCACTTGTTTTCTGGTTGGTGTACTTGGACACAATAAAAAATATATCTTAGTGATATTATCTTGTAATGACAGTTTTGGACAAACCAGGATCATCCCTTGATGTGTGGCTAAATTCTGCCACACAAAATTCACTGCATTTTCTCACTTACATCGTACTGCAAGTGCAGATCAATAGTTAGACCCAACTGTAGGTAGCTAAACCTAAGAGCTCGTTCAAAATAAATGCGTTTTTATTTTACCACGTGAGATAAACTATATGGAAGAAGTAAAAGCTAATGAACAATTGTTCTACAAACTCATTTAACTGAAAGTTTGACAAGTATGAGTTACTTAAGGGAAATGGGAACAATGATTTGAAAAGTGTTTCTTACACTTTCCGTTTCCGTGATGAATAAATCATTAGAAGTCACTAAATAAAAAGTTATTTAAAAAACACCGATCTTGAGTGAGATTAAACCGAAGCTGTTAAAATGGAAATATGAACTTGTTTAAAAGGTTTTACAGTTTAAAGAATGAGTGAAATTTTTTATAAACCCAGTCAAATGTTAATGGCCTACACTATGTCATATAATAATGTGAATTCTATATTTGAATAGGTTAAGCGTTCGCAGGTGAGACCGGAGGTGCTGGGTTTCAATCCTGCGAGTGGAATCGTGAATGAGCACTGCTGAGGATTCCTATACTATGACGAAACAGCCTTTCGTATGCTTTTAGGGTTATTATGGCGGTCTAGCTTTAATTGACTATTAAATTTCTAAATTACTCAAAACTACGTCATATGTATCAAATTAATAAGTGGAAATGTGGAACATTGTACATTGACAGTTACCCGAGACAAAATTGACAGTAAACATATTATTATCAGAATGGGTTTTGTGGAGATTTTTAGAAATTTCACTGGTTGAGATCATTAGTCAACTGAAGCTAGAACACCATGGAAAACCAGGACGAAACGGCCGTCCAGTGCTTCCAGGTTTTCCATGGTGTTCTAGCTTCAATTGACTCATGATTTCAACCAGTGAAATAAACATATTATTGAATAAAACATGTATGGAAGAGTAATTATTTTAATTTAGTGTACTTTATTTCTCTTTAAATTGATCATTTTGATGTAAGTTAAAGTTAGTTGCTTTCAACAATGTTTTCATAATGTTTTATTACATTATGCAATGGTTCTTCATAATAAACAGAAATATAAACTTGTCAGTGTTACATCATATTACATAAAATAGTTCTTTCATTTCTATGTACCAAGCTACAGTATTCACCAGATATAAATGTAACATTACTCACCATACATATTTATAAAAATTGTTACATTCTTCAAAGCTTTTTCATTGGTTTACTTCCATTAACATATCAGCCAATAGTAATTCAATGAATTTTAACACTTTGATCTGATTGGTTTGTAAATATATTGAGGAAATATTAATCATTGATCAACAAATGTATCATTCCAGGCTAAATAAGTACGATGTATTACAAATATATACTGTTATGAATCGGTAATGATAATAATAATAAATTTATTTATGCATATAATACATGAATAGTACAAAACTTATTCTTTATCATCACAATTTAAAGTTTATTGAATGAATGTGAATATGGGTATTCCAATTGATCGATTTGTAAATCCAGTTGATGAAAATCTAATCTGTGGTATTTGTCATGGTGTATTTATTATACCTGTAGTAACAGAATGTGGTCATACATTTTGTGCTAATTGTTTAAAAATATGGTTAAATTCAAAATTGGAACATTTAAATCATTTAACAATAAGTGATAATGAACGAACACGTTTTCAATTTACATGTCCAACTTGTCGAACAAAATTAAATGTTAATAATTCACAACAGAATAATTCTATAAATTCAGTCGTAAATACAACAAACAATATAAATAATCATATTAATAATTATTGTTTTCATGATAAACCAAATATTAATTTATTATCAATAGCTAGACCAGTACTTGCATTAAAGAATTTTTTAAATTCTTTACAAATCTATTGTGAATATGCTAAACGTGGATGTACTACTATTGGCAGTGTAGAATTAATACATTTTGGTAATCATCGACATGTATGCGCTTATGTACCAGTTGATTGTGCTGGTTGTGGTAGAACATTAAATAGAATTGAATTAGCTGCTCATCAATTAGGCTGTTTTGGTATACAGGTAAGCATGATTTACAATCTTATTTTTCCCATAAATTGTACTATCAACCAATTGACATATTATTTAATGTTAATAGTTGGATTTCTGTGTCGATCTAAACTAGACCACCACTGAAAACCTGAAAGCATTGAACGTCTGTTTCATCCTAATATAGGACTCCTCAACTGTACGCATCCACATTATTTAGTGCTCTGATTTTGTTTTAACTTACTTTTGAGTAATATTTAACAAGAGAATTAACAATATGTATTTCAGTCTACTTGAAATTTAGCAAATGAATGACGAGAGTTGAGTTGTTTCCTAATGTCTGAGTTTGATATCCAACAAAATTTATGATAGACACTAATGTAATCAACAGAAATAACGATTTACTAAGTTCATTGGAAAAAAATATCTAAATAAAAACAGTAATAAAGGTTTACCTTTAATGTAAATTTTTATTTATGAGTACTTTTGCCTACAAGTATTCAACCTTAACTAGACCGAAAATTAAAAGGAATGTTAATTAGATTTGCATAAAATTAGTGTATTCACATGAATTCTCGAAATAGATACAATTCTAATTACTTAGTTGGAAACATTATCATTGATTCATCATAAGCCTTTAGAGTGTTTGTATGTAAAGAGAAAAAAAGACAACTCCAGATTTTTAATGATACAGATGGTTGGAAATCTATGGTTGCTATCCTGACAAATTTTATCTTATTAAGTTTTGAGCATATCGAAATATCGTCAATTCTATATTGAAATACTTAAATTCAAAGAATAGACTAATTTGTTTGGTAATCTGGAACACATAAAGTTGAATTAATCCATTAGCTGAAATTGTATGTTATTAACTAATATTTATAGTAATCCAATTTTTGTTTATTACTAATCAGAAAATTGGTTAGTTTCATTGCTTTTATCAATTCTAAACTGTTAGTCCTCTTTTATTTGACAGACTACACTGAAACCCATCAGATAACAGAATGGAGTCAACCATAAATGATACTCCAAATCTTTGTCGTATCGTGGTACTCTATGACTTGGTGTTGAGTATTATTTTATTTATGATCATTTGATTTTATCTGTAAAAGAATTCAAACAATTTTCGTCAGAACTGTAATAATCTCAGTGATATTGTTATTATTATCTCAGTAAATGGGATTGAAAATTTAAGTAAATTTGAAAATGAACCTTAAAAGTTATGTTTGTTTTAAAGAAAAGATGAGAGATTAACATTTCAACATTTGCATATAGATTGTTTTCATTATTTTTGGTATATACTTAAATAATTATGACTGAAATTAACAATAATATAAGTGACTTTCACAATGCTGTCTACATTTAAATACAATTCGCTGAAAGGAAATTTGTTACAAAAAATAATAAAGTCAACAAGGAAGATGTTTATAGTTATTGTATTACTTCTGGATCTACTCACTTTTTCTGTTACGAAGCAACAGTAAAATTGATTACAGTGACTATATGGCCACACCTACAGTCAATTAAGAGAAACAAATGCTGCTATCAATAGCAACCAATAATTTTCACTTTTAGGGTTCACATTTTTGGTTATCTTCTGTTTCTGGGAAATAGTATGACTGATCTAGTAGTAAGTGAAAAGTGGCAGCATTTCTAATTATAGCATGAGTGGTGAAATAAGAATAGTAATAACAATAATAATCATCCTAATCCATTTTTGTCTTGTTTGTTTGAATCTTCCCCTTGATGTTTAGGACTGCAATTATCAGTCTCTTATTGTCATATATACATGCTGTGCTCATTGCCTTGATAGTGCCTTAGGTCACAAGTATTCTAATCAGAGATGCATAGTGGTTAGCAGTGGAATCCAAGACGTCCGTTTCGTCCTATTTGGGATTCGTCAGCCAAATGTACCCGCATCGCAGAGTTGATGTTCACTCTGGGACTCGAACTCAGTACCGTTCGCTTCAAACGCCATCGCATTAACTACTCAGCTGCTGATAGGTTCTGGATTCGAATCCCGCGAGCGGAATCGTGGATGCGCACTACTGAGAAGTTCCACACTAGAACGAAACGGCCGTTTAGCGCTTTCAGAGTTTCCATGATGGTCTAGCCTTAATTGACTCATAATCTCCACTACTGAAATTACTATAATATCCACCAAAATCCCTTCTGATACTAATTCCATATTTATTGATATTTCATTGTCTCAATATTCCGATAATTTAAAAATAATTTTCAAACATTCCAGTTTTCTTTTTATTGTATAAACTATAATTTTAAATAGTCACAGTTGATTGATCATTGGGTGTTGATCAATGTCATGCTTGTCAAGTCCCTATTTAGTGCAGATGGAATGCTATCGACCATGTTGCAATGTGGCCACCAGTCTAGGTGACTCGACACTGCGTGCACTATATATTGAGATTAGATGGTGGTTGGAGGTAGTCGACAGGAAACCTTCTACCCAGGAAGTCAGTCGCGGCCCGGATAGCTCAGTGGTAACGTTTCCGACTGTGAAGCTGGGTGACACTAGATCGAATCGGCCAGGGAGCACCAGTTCCCTCAAAGATTACAGGTACACCTTGCTGACAAGTGCCAAGTAGCACGAAACCCGGGTCCAGGATTTCCTGTCGACTGCCTCCAACCACCATTTAATCTCAATATAATTTTAGATAGTTTTTGATAACTTGAAATTGTTTGTTCAATAAAAACTTATCAAAATCAAGAATCAGCTGTTTTTCTTCCAAACAAATAAAAAGAAAGTAGAAATACAAACTAAAATAGCAAGGGATTTATAGAAAAAATGTTGTTTTTTCTTTTACTTCCTGAAATATATTTCTATATTCAATACATTACAATATACACAATATTATTGTTTTAATAAATATATAAATACAATTGATTTTAGCGCTTCAATCAGATTTAAAATTTTTGATTTACTTTTATTCTTATAAGAATTTCTTTTTCTTTTTTTGGAAGTCAAGGTCAGGATTGAATTGTGTGATAAAACAAGTACATTTCTATTTTTAAAAAAGTTACTTTATTCATTGAATAACGGATCTATTTTTTAATATATATATATTTATTTATGAGATAAGTAAGGAATGATAAAAAGGGAATTTTAACCTTTTTATGATTTCTATAGTAACCTATGTGATAGAAGGAATAAAAATCATAACTAGAATATTATTTTTAAATCCGATTCTTACTGATTTAAATTTAATAATAAAAGTTCATTGAGAATTTGTTTAGGTTTATTCATTAAATTTTCTATCTTTCAATATCAAGAAAGTTGTTAGAGTAGTAGGAGCGAAAACACTATCAGTAATACTGTAGTGAACAAGAACACAAGTGAGGAGAATCAAATGTATTTGAACACAAAATGACAGAACATTTTAGTAAAATCTGAGAACCACATAGTAAATACTTCAACCCATCGTCTTAAACTTTATTGTTCCTTCATTTCCACATCAATCATTCCTTGTTCTCGTTCTCTTTTCGTAACCTTCTGCCTCCAGGCATTTCACTTTCGATTGCTCATACATATTACTTATATCTGTCGATATCAGTAGCACACATCACAGTATTAGTGATAGTAGATATGATTATGTTTTCTAAACAATACTAAATCACCAAATCAATTGATGACGTAGTGAAACTTCATCAGTTGAAATGGTTAGGACACGTGTTACGTATACCCAACCACCGACTGCCCCGACGTGTGTTTTCTGGTGTAAGAGTAGGTTGGAAGAAATCTAGGGGCGGCCAGACCAAAACATGGCACAAATCCATGAAGTCACTGACAAGTGGATTGAGTCTGAATTGTTATTCAATTAGTTAACTAATATAGCTTTAACCGTTTTTTGTCGGTTAAATGTTTGCTGCCCAACTATAAATTTAGTTTTCGATTGAACCGATTGATGTTGGTCCACCGTTGGAAACCTGGAAGCACTGGAGGGCCGTTTCGTCCTATTGTGGGACTCGTCAGCAGTGCTCATCCACGATCCCGCTCGGGGGATTCAAACCCAAGTCCTTCAGTCTCGCGCGTGAACACTTAACCTACTGGATTGATTGATTGAAATTTATTACACAGCAATAAGCTTGATAGTTACATCCATCATCAATAACTAACTGCCTAGTGAAAAAGTTTCTGCCTTTTAAGTATCAAATTGACTTCGTAAGTATGTAGAGTAGAAAGAATCTTATTTTCATGAACACGTTTTACCTTGTGACTTATATAACATCAATTCAGTAGTTTTATTCCAAACTATTAGGAACATGTGATCATAAAAGTTTTTTAGTTTATATTTTTTAAGAGAACTTCCCTTCTTGATAACATGATGGGTTTGTATGAGCGGTTTAATGTAACACCTATTAGGTTTGTTTTACATATATATAATAAAGGACTAAGTTTCTCTTACTCACACGCAAAAAATGGTTACTTGTTTGGTTGCTTAGTAACTTCAAATGAATAAATAAACAGCCCAAAATATTATATTTGTTTTCAATTTCAAATAATTTTTATCTTATTAAATATTTTCCTCTTTCAACAATATTGGTGATCGATTTGCAACTGGTAATATTTTGATAATTTTGCTTTGAAATCAGGATACTGGAAAAAAATGAAACATTTCAATGTAAGATAGTTGACAGGGATTAGAGTGAAGTGTTTAACCTAGATTTATCGTTCGTTTGAGCCATGGTTTGTCTGGTATACGAAAGATATTTTTTAAACTAAATGATAATTTCTCAATAACTGGTTTTATGCTGGTTTATGATTACATAATTCTCTTAATAAAACAAGTGGAATGATTAGTATTACTGTATATGCAGTTCGATGATGGTTTTATGTAAATAAATGGATGAATTAATGTTTGTAAATATATAAGTACTGTCTCTTTATTTTCACTGACTTTTATTCATTTTGTTTGCAGTTTGGTCTTAGGTTTAACTATTTTGATATTTATTTCCTGGAAACTTTTAATTGTGTAAATTACTTAATTGATCTAGGTTTGGCTTTAGCTATACTT